CATAATAAAATTGGGATTTGGGATTTGGGATTGGGATTTGGGATTTGGGACAAGTAGTTTTGCCAGCAAGTATAGTTCCTCCTGTTTTTCTACCTTTTTATAGTTTATACAAACAATCAGATTGTCGTACAACAGATCACGTATTGTTACACGATAAAATGACAATACCGATATTGTATTTTTCCGTCCGTGATTTATTTAAAATATTTCTTTATGTTACGGAACTTGAAACTGTTATAAATAGTGAGGCTTTCACTTATCGTTTCCTTAAAAAATTATCACATTCACATCGTTTATCCTATCCGTTACTTTTTCGCATGTTTTGCAATATAGATGTGAATGATGATTGCATTCATCACAAACCTTATACCCGTGCTTCCATCCTCTAAAAATACTTTTCAAAGTAATTTTTTTTTTCTTTATGTGCGAGTATGTTATTCTGACCTTTCATTGTTATATATTAGCAGAAAAAAATAATATATACGCGGAAAATATAATTACAAATTTTCTTAAACCATTGTTATTTTTATTAATTATTCGAGGTTCTCTTTAGTCATGTGGATTTTTATTCGAAATCTTATTGGAAGAAGTGTGACATTTAATGTCACAGTTAAACCAATGAGATCCGGCAAAGTTATGGGCTATGCTGAATTACATGGTAGAATGAAAACCGGAAACTTTATGATTTTGGCTTTGAGAGCCGTGACATTAATGTCACACTACTTTACAAATAAAAAATCAAAAATGGCCGTAGCCCTTCCTAAAAGAAGTCTTTATTATCAAGAGTTACACGAAATACATGTAGCAGTAGGTACAATTTATTCATTTAATCTGGCAATAATAAAATCGACATCATCCGGGGGTAGATTTATGATTGTAGTAGCATTAAAAGACCTTATCCATTCTATCGCTTCTTTACCACCAACGTTACTAAAGAGCCTAAAAACCTTTTTACCCCTTTCCTTTCTTTTTCGAAGGTTAGTCTCGGTAAGTTTATCTTGTACAGAAATCTGATCACTGATTCTATCATTAACTCGAGCATTAGATACATCCTCATTACAAGTTTTTCTAAAATGATCGAACAACTGCTTAATGGCTTGGCCAAAATTATAATAACATCAAATCAAATCATGGGTGGTTCTCTGAAGATTGTCTTCGGCAGTATCGATCTTATTATATAAATCGAGAAAATCAAGCGAGCTTACGTCCATCTCAAAGACACTCGACTGCAAAGTGATGGGGCCTTCAACTTGTTGATAGGTTGGTGAAGTCAATTCCTGAATTAATTTTTTCAATGTAGGAGAATCCTCTCTGTTAACCTGTTTCTTGGCTTTTTTGCTAGGTGATTTGTTTTTAGAAGTATCCACGAATGATCTTTTGTGGGGGCTTTTAAATAGATTATCTTCACCTTCTCTATTATCTACATCTGACATGTCTTCTTCTGGAATTTCTTGAGGACTTCGAATATTATATTTTTCCATTTTTCTAACAATTGATGCCGTGCTTGATTCTGAATCCCGTCTAGAAAACTGATCAAGAATTTCAATACTTTTTTTGCAGTTTTTAACAGGACATACGTTTTCTTTGGTAAGTAAAATTTCTTTATCGATGCAAATTCTATGAAATACGTGACCGCAAGCTAGTGTTGTGAATGACTTAATAGGACTTGAAAAAATTTCTTTATTACATAATACGCATTTATCTAGTTCTGGGAATTTTTCATTTTTAACAATAGGATCATCGAAATATTTTAGAATATTAAATGCGAGGTTTTTAAAATTAATAACAGATATTTTGTCCTGGGTTGCGGAAGCGTTATTTTGTTCTGACATAATAGAAATTTTATAAACCGAATGCAAGATAAGTTTTCATAACAAAATTCCTTATACTTAGCTTATTTATATAGTTTATTCTTCACGACTAACAAACCCTTGATCTATAGATCAAGAAAAAACTAATTTCGGGCTTGGCGATCCATTTATTCACGAATTAATTAGTATAGGGAGGGATCGCATGCGTTTTTTGCGTAATCATATGCTATTTTAATCCCCTATTCGTACCTCATACAAATCTACCAATGACCCATAATGAAATTTTATCATGTAGAATGGATGATGCTATAGTGCCCGTTACATATCGTAGGATCAGATTTGTAAATTGCTAGCGTAATTTCCATTCTCGTCCCATTCTAACATCATAGACATCGGATTGACTTGTGTAATGCTAATTTAAAGATTCGTAACATGTGTACTATGCCAGAACTTTCTGGAAAAAAGTTGGCGGATTAATTATTCATTGATTTATTCCCCATAGATTTGCAAAGATACAATTTTTGAATTTCTTTTTAACGACGCTCTGTCTTACGATCTGCATGTAAATTAGGATGTGCTTTTTTATTAGTAATTCACAGAACTCCAATTCGTTATGAAATAGTGAGAGTCGTGAACAGGAGGCAACGATTTCTTTATCATTATTAACTTTTGGACCTAAATCGAGAGCATGAATATGAATATCCCACTTATCGCCAGTTTTGGCACAATGGAGAGCTCTTTCTTCAATAGTAAGCTTTTCCTTTCTTTTGTCTGACACGAGGACTCCTATCTGCTCTTCACTAAATTTGCGTTTAGCAAGACCAACTTTAACGCACCTATGAGCTATTCAATCCGGAAGTGGTGCACCAAGTTCAGAAGCATGTTCGCTTAATTGTTCTAGAGTAGAGTTAGCTGACAAATTATACTTTTCTAAGAACTGGCTCAGGATGTCAACATAATTATTAGTTTTGGCTTTTCGAGTCTTTAGAGCAGTTTTTGTGGTAGCCATAACAATAATAACTAGATTGCAATTATTACCTAGTTATATTAGCATATTTATTTTTCAATTCAAAAAAAATATTCCACTTAGCCGAGCCAGAGGGGACCGGTTCTTCGAACTAGGCACGCATTTCTTTGATTATATCTCGAGAAATATAACTATGAGACATTGCATTTTTGAATATCTATAATAAAAGTGAAGATAAAGTTTTGAGATTATTAATATCAAAATTACACTGTATAGCTCCTTTTACCTGCCAATATATTAAGAAAGATGGTTCGATTTGTGGGAAAGGGTGCTGGTGTGCTGAAGGATGTGCCAAACATTATAATGCTCATCTTAAAACAATATGCCCTATCTGTAATGAGCGAACCTATTCTGATACTGGAATCTGTAGCACGCATAGCGGAATTTATGACCATGCCTGGCACGAAAATAAAAAAACTAAAACAGAATCTGATGCGATCAAGATACTTAGCTGAATAATAATTTGGCCAAAGTATTATTTTTCCTATCCTATAAAGTCAAAGAATTCCTGAGTTTTATTATCTGTTTTTGGCCTATATGGTGGAAGCTCTGGCGCACTTTTATTCTAAAGCCAAGACCATCATATGTCTGCTGATTAATTCGATATGAACGTTCCCAAACTTGTTTTTCTTTAGGTCCTATTTTTTTTCGATTGCTTTTAACTGTATAGCCACACCAATTACTAGCGATTGCATTGATTGTCTTTATAGCCGAATTAAGATCTAGTGTTGCTTTAGCATGAGATTTAAAACCAAAGAGTAGTAAGGATTGATTTTGGATTTCTATAAATCTCTCATAGGATTGTGTAAATATTTCTGATACAATATTACCAGGAAGGATACGCTTGTCATCTATACCTGTAAAGCCCAATATCTTAAAAAGTTCCTGTATTACTTTTCAATAATTTGCTGAATAGTTTTTATACAAGTCTTCTGCTACTGATTTTTCTAAATTCTCCTCAGCTTTATAACAGGTATCCTCCTACTGTACAAAGTCTTTAGCAACCAAACCTTCTATTACACTATCTTCATCACAACCTTGCTTCCGGAAGTAAGATAAGCGCAGAAAATGTTTCCGAGGTTCAGATAGACTAAAACGTTCTACAAATTTCTTATTGCAAAGATTATCCCAATCTTCGGTACTCATATCTTTACAGCCATAAAGATTTCGCATATAGAAACGTTTAAGAGCCATAGTATCTGGGATAGAGCGTTCTTGGTC